TAGTAAATGTTGCCAGGTCGATTCTTCTTAGGTGGCAACTTGTAGGAGATTGTTAGCACACCCTGCCCCGCCGTTACCTAGGTCGCCACCGTAGCTGGGAATAGCGGGGCCGCCGGGGACTTGGGGCAGTCTCTTTTTTACTTTCATCATGAGGGGGCATTTGCCATAGTTGCCACACTTGGCGAGCGGGTTTGCAACCGCTGTTCTTTTATTGTAATATTGCTGTTATCAGGAAGATGCTGCTGCCCATCTTCTGCCTGTTTCCCACTGTCGCCTTTTACGACACCCGCACACGAAGGTATGGGGAGGTGGATATTTTTAACCGCCACTACACGGCTTCTTCGTCTGTTTGCAATTTTATAATTGTCACTTTTACATTGCTTTTGTACGTAATTTCAACCCCTTTTTATAAATTTAAAAAATATAGATATAAGATCGTCAAAATTGGTTCACAATTGACGAGAAAATCGCGTACCTAACATACATACAAAAAAACACATACTGTCAAATTGTAAGCCCCATATTTTTTTGAAGTTGGTTAAAAATAAACATGATCGTCAGGTGCATGAACCAATCTGACATTCACAAAAAAAACTTTTAATTAGTAATTCCCAGAAGCATCGTTGCTGTCAAACTAACACAACTGAGAAGCTAATTGAAGTGACGAAGCACCGAAGCTTTAAATACGGGCGACGTTGTACATGCAGTATTGCAACTATTAAAGGCCATTTGCATTTGCTTGGGATTAGGTAATATAATTAAGTTTATTTATTTATTTATTTATTCAAAGTGGAACAGCTAACAGCTACATTATATATATTACATACAGATAGTACAGTAACATTAATATACGCAATAATGCAGCCCACAGTGCTGTTCACAGATTACCTCTTCAGATAGATGATTAAGATGCTAGGAGACCTGCAGCTGTACAGAACGTATTATATAAGTGTCAAAGTATGGTCAGCAATGATATTATAATGTGACTGAGGTGACAAATTATTATTTGAAAAGTGTTTTATATAAAAAACCACGAAACCTTTCCGTTGAGCATGTGAAAATATCTATATGCTTGAAGGTCTCATTATATGTGGCAACCATACGTCAAATCGGTGAACGTATACCGGTATTGGATCGACAGGCACTTACGGCAAAAAGTTTACCCGCACGCACCTGTCGTCTATGGACAGTTCTGGGGACCGCATAACATAACACATTATTTAACTCAATACAGTCAAACTTGCATCTTACTATATGGAACAGTGTCATAGCCTCTAATTGCTTACGTCTAGATTCGAGGGTTAGAAGTTTGTATCTACTGAGTAACTGGTCATATGGTAGATAAGATTTATGACATCTATAATGCATTGCACGTAGAAACCGGCGCTGAACATTTTCAATTTTGTGTATATATTTATTATAGTAAGGATTCCAAATAGGCACAGCATACTCAAGTTGAGAGCGAACTAGGGTTTTATATAAACAAAGATATGAAGAGGTCCGTTTGAAGTCGCGAGTTGATCTCATAATAAATCCATATAATTTGTATGCTTTGTTTACAATTTGTTCAATATGTAAGTCTAAGCACAGTTTTGAATCAAACAATATACCAAGGTCTCACATAGAATCCACTTTAGCCAAAGGAATGTTACACAGTGAGTACGAAAATTTGTATGTGTTTTTAGTAATACTGAGATATTTACACTTCGGAATACTTAACTGAAGTTTACTTTTGTAACAATAGTCTGTCAGTCTATCCAGGTCCTCTTGGAGAAGAATGCAGTCTTGTGTAGTATGGATAGATTTATAAACTTTAAGATCATCTGCATATAATAGAAATTTAGAATTGAGAAAACAGGTACTTATGTCATTGATAAACATTACAAATAACAGAGGATCGAGAATAGATCCTTGAGGTACACCGGAGGTAACCATCGTAACGTTAGAGTGGTATCCATTGATTACAACCCTTTGACAACGGTTAGTGATATAAGAAACAAACCATCGTAAAAGATTACCCCGAATGCCATTGTAAGCTATTCGATTTAGTAACATTTCGTGGTCCACCTTATCGAAAGCCTTTCGAAAGTCTGTATATACTGCATCAACCTGTACGCGATTATCAACATTTTCGAATAAAAAGCTGGAAAATAATAGTAGATTGGTGGCTGTTGATCAACGTTTAACGGAACCATGCTGTTGCTGAATAATAATATTATGCAGTATGTGATATATTTCGTTATGAACAAGTCTCTCGAAGAGCTTCGACAAGGTGGATAAAATTGATATCGGGCGATATTGATCTACACTACGTTTAGATCCGCTCTTGTGTACAGGTGTGATGTAAGCATGTTTCCATACTATTGGCATAACACCTTCAGTAATGCATTTATTATAGATGATGGTTAGGGGTTTACATATAACAGAGGCGGTGTTTCTTAGAAAATAAGCAGATAGGCCATCAGGGCCTGGCCCCTTAGATGGATCCAGAGATTTCAGCTCTCTTAATACCTTTTCTACTTCAAAATGAAGGTCAGTAATAGTGGTATCATGGGATGCTGAATCGGCAGGTGGCCTCCACTGTGATAGTGTAGGTGAGGGCGGTTCATAAATGGAAGAGAAGAATTCAGAAAACATGTTGCATATTGTCCGTGGATCACTTGCAACATCATCATTATATTCAACCTTAGCCGGTATTCCAGGTTTGTCACGACGATTAGAAATGTATACCCAGAAATCCTTAATATTTTTGTGTATGCTATCCTCGACAGATCCAATATATCTAGAAAAACATTTATTACACATATCCTTAAATAACGTTCTATACTGGGAAAATATCTCATAGTCTGATATGTTGTTATATTTCTTCCATTTCACCCACGCTTTACGTTTTTTTTCTAAATGTGCTAATTAAAGATTTCGAAAACCAGATCGGAAAAGCAGAAGTTCTGGAGCCAACCAACGGCGTATGTTGCTTGATAATTTCGTCAATTATTCCATAAAATACGCTAAGTGCTTCTTCAGATCCCATGGGAGTAAGTATTTCATCCCAGTTAGTGGACTGTATTTTACGGTTGATGTGCGTATAGTCGGACTTATAAAAATTATACCTCTGAAGCGTCCGCCTTTTCATTGGAACAATATCAACATAGAGAGCTATTTCACAGATAAAGGGTGAATGATATGCGTATTATAGCACAATATATCAGTCTCGCAGCAAATACGCACCCGCAATTCCCCATGAAGAAATAATTCAAAATATAGCTTCAAAAAGTTAATAATAATTACAAAAACATGCATGTAAAATAAAAAAATCAAGAAAACTTTATAATTAATATTACACCACACTGTTACAGCCCACCGGTTAAAATGTTTTGTTGATACATAATATACAACATAACAACCAAACTTACACCTGTTAAATTTAAGGGCTGACATATTTATGATATACTCATAAATTTTTAATTTGTTTATAATACTACAACAGACAAGTAACACAATATCGCAGTAATTAAAATGATTGAAAAACTCGTAACTTATCAAAGTATAACAATATATGGCAACATAGAGACCAAGACGATTACATAATAATAAACCTAGGAATAACATACAATTTAGTAACACAAGTATGTTTATAAATTTATAATTGAACTGAGCGTTATTTTTAAATTTGACGTAAGGCACACTTATTTTATGTTTAAACAAGTTTACTTTATATATAGTTATCACACCAAATGATTTTATTAAAGCACTATCACAATCAATGTTAATATATAATTCATAAAATGAAAAGTTCAACAAAGTGTAACATAGTGCAATAATACCATAAAACCCTACTAACGTAATATAGTATAAGGAAATTTTTATTGCAAAAGTATTAAATATTTTATTTGACGTGTTGTTTGCATTTTTGGATGAGAGAGCGATAAACCTCATTAATAAAAACGTATAATACAGAATGACACCTAATGAAGAAATTAGGCAAGATATATGGTAGGGAGAGTAATGATCATAATGAAAAGTATTGTTATTACTGAATATGTTGGGTAGAACTACCACAAGGCCTATTATCACCACCTTTAGTGCGACTTTTGATCTTTCGAAGGTCATCATCTGTGCGTATAGCAAAAGCAGTTTCACCATCTCGTTCGCGCACCAGAATAGTGGCATTCCGAACCCAGACGTACTTGTATTGGTGCATAGTGGCGAGATCTCTGGTTTTACGAAATAATTGTTTTTTCTTCAGTGTAAGATGCTCGTTCATATATATGGTCATTGGCAATCCGGAGAGACCTAGCTGGTCGGTCTTGAGAGTTTTCACCTTACGGAAAGCCGCAAGTACGTTGTCCCGAAGGATGCGTGATGATAGTTTTACAATAACATTTTTCGGCCATTTTGTTTGATGGTGAGCATGGGGAACTCTATGGATTGACAGGATATCTCTCTGAGAAATCGGAAAGTTAATAGCCGTACTAATTGATCCCATTATGTTCAACAAGTTTTCACTGCGAGTTTCAGGAATGTTACAGATTTCGACGTTGCATTGTCTGGCTTGTTGCTCGAGGTACTCGATTTTATTTTCCCAGGTGCTAATAGTTAAGCTAGATTGTTCGGTAGATTTACGTATTGTGTCATCCACTTTTTTTTTGAGATCATCTTGTTCCCCGGAAAGAAACTGCATAGATGCTTTTAATTCTGAAACATCATGGGATATATCAATAGTTTGATGCTTTAGACGCTCATGTTCAGCACGAAGGGTGCATATCTCGTCCCTGAATCCATTTAAAGCAGATTTTAAATCATCATTAAGTTTAGTTATACTCGCCTCCATCTCATATCGCCAGTCATGTAGTGAACTCTTGATATTCTCTTTGAATACAGTTAGTGTATTGTTCATGTCGCTTCGCCATTCCTCAATGGTCTTATGAAGTTCCTTTGTGAATGTATGGAAAGTAACACCCATCTCCAGGGCAACACATTCAGGTACTGAAGCAGCTGGTCTAGTCAGAATACAGAATACAGGGACTGTTCGATGAGATGGGTGCTTTGCCCTCGGTTTCATATGACATATTCATGTTATCGTCCAAAGGTATTTGCGTGGATCGCACAGGCGTAAGCAAGTTGGATCGTCCACGACGGGTAATATTATTGCACGAGGGACATTTCCAGGTTGCCTTAAATTCTTCTGTCAGTGAGTAATAATGTTGCTGCTTAATATTTAATAATATTTCAATGTGGTAGATTCCTTCACAGGCATGACAATTCAGCAGCCGCGCCCCCGACTTGCAGATTGTATTACAACCAGCGCAATTCATTTTTAAGAAGCAGTAGTTTGTAATGTTATTATTGTACACTGTAAACACAAAGAGCGCCACCTTTTGGTGGCACAGGAACTCAATCGATGTAAGTATCAAGAATTGAAATTAGTAGTACCGATGTCAGACGACAATAATTTGTCCTCAATATAAGCATAATCAGATAGATGGCGTTATTTATAATTTTGTAGAAGAGATCAACGACATTGATTCAAAATCAAAAGTAAAAAATTTTTACTACAACCGTCAATATCACACGATGAAACGTTTTTCAAAATACACTTAATGTATATAGTAATATATTGTTGCACTTTGGTTTAAAAGTTATTAACACTGAAATTTATTAATAATTAACTTGAATGAACACAACAATACTGTTATTTATAGTGTCAACAAATTATATTTAATATCGTTATTACCAACACTTTTCGTGAATGAGATGACGTTATAACACTTGCACATCACTATTAGGGTTTCTAATTTGCACTAATTAATATTTTAGTTTATCTAAGCTGTTTTATAATTTTTAATAAAAGAAATACACGGAGCTGATTTTAACCGTGGCAACTAGCGCCATCTGTATCTGTATAAGTTAGGAGTTTAAATAGGAATAGAGACAATTTCACAGCGTGTATGCTGGGTTGGATTCGAAACGCTACCGCCAATGAAATTGTTAATTGTAAATATAAGTGAAAAACATAGAAGTGAACATTTGAATTTCGTCACCGTAAACTGAAGCAACGCAGTGGAACCATTAGGTAACCAGGTTACGTAACCCTCTCAAAAATTAGAGAAGGCCTTACTTACTTTACATACGTTACTTTAACAATGCACTTTAATACGTGAATAACAAGCACGAAATTTAGGATTTTTTTATAAAAATTAAATGAATATCAAACCTACAGTCCACCTGATAGGAAGTGGCTACTGTAGTTCATAGACACCTGAAATAATTTTCACACGAAAGTTAAGATGCGTTGTCACTTCTGAGGACTGAGGTGGAATTCTGCATAGCCCGTAATTATAATGCCTCTCTATATTCTTTAGACCAGATCACAGCAGTGCATGCACTGCTACTCACGGCAAATATAGATTAAAATGTTTCTGCTAATAATAGCATAGTACCAGACTCTTAGAAAGAAAATGAATATTACCTTAAGAATTAAGAGATACTGTTCCGAAGCTGCTGAAAATCACAACACTTAATACGATAAATTCAAAAATGTAATAAAGTTGAAACGACGTTTATATGTAATGAAATATTTCTGTGGAAGTGTCATTAAAGAGAAATTCACAAGAAAATTTTTTAGTTTAGTTTCCTTTAGATTGCGTTTAACTCACGGGATTCGATTACGTTGAGCGCGCCTTTGCATCGTTTATAACAGGAAAAATTAATTTGCTTGAGGTATGTCAGAGTGTTAACTCGAAGAGTTTTTGTTTTCTCTTGTTTCTGTTTATGTTTTCTGTTACACGTACGTCTCTTCTAAAGCGCACCACATACCAGAACGGCCTTCTCCTTCACGTATTCAGTTGCTACCAGCCATCTGGCGTAGATCAACGCTCCATCTAGACATTGTTCATTTTATAAAATTACGGCACACCCGTTTTGAATTACGAATTTTTAAATGGGCCACGATGATTGGTTTCAATTTCAGCTGTTTGTGTGAAATAGCGCAACAATTAAATTCTACTGGAATTCTAATTGCCAAGAGGGGACCATTTTATTAGGGTTTATTTTAAAGGCCGATGAGAATTGCGTAAAATTAGTTAAATTGCCACTTCGTTATGACCGGTTTCCATCAAAGGACTGACAATTCTTAATTAGATGTGATTTACTGTGCTCGTATATTAATTGTGTTAGAGTCGGATTTAATTAATTAATATTTAAAAATATTTAATATTTTTTATTTATGTAGGTACACCACAAAAACACATCACATAAACAAATATAGGTATAGTTTGTATTGATCGTGCAATGAAATTAGTTTTGAAATGATAGAGGGAGCATGCTAACTATTGCTTAAGCTAAGAGAATGGCGATGAGCTGATTGTGGATAATGTATAAAAAACGCTAAACACCAATAGCAGTACCATTGTTACGAGATTTCTTCCATAAAATTTTAAGCGACAAATAAGAAAAAAATACACCTGAGTATTATTGGCTACTGCGAAAACACGAACGAATCACAGACGTAATGTAAGTAAGCCCTGATAATTATTATTTTTATAGGAGAGGGGGTAAACGATCATACGGCTCACTCAGCAACAACTGCAACACCAAGGGAATTGCAAGTGCGTTGCCGGCCTTTTAAAAAGGAGTAAACTCTTTTCTTGAAGGTTCCTAAGTCATATCGGTCCGGCAAAATCCCCTGTGGACCACTCCTAGTATAACGGACAGTGGTGGCCCTCCAAGCATCCAGATGGTGTGGATGGTATCGGAATTGTGCGTTCGATTGCAATACTTCACAGATTTAATTAATAGAATCAGGCGTTACTTTGCGGAAATCCATTTTTTTGTTATGAAAAACGTAACGTGACTAAGATTATCTGCTTTATCATGGAAGCAGTTTACATACATAAATTGCACATGGCCAAACATCCGGACCCGGAACAATTATTTATAGGCTGTAGAAATACTAATTCCCTGCGAAATTCGAACCCGCGACCCTCAGCGCCGTAACTCATTGCTAAACCACTGCCCCACAGAGCCTTCAAAATATTAAAGATTAAAATTTTATATTAAACATTTCAAAAATTAATTTGCTAATATCCGCGTAGTAAAAAACGGAATGAAGTGTATTACCTAATTTGAAGAGCACCTCCCGCCCTACCTAAATTGCTTGCACTATCCCCGTTAAAACGAATCCCAACTCTAATACACTAGGAAAGACGCACCACCGTCAATAATACGACACGTGTCCCGTTGTGTTAAAAGATACATCCTCAGGTGAAGTAGACTCTGCAGTGGTTGACCGCTAATACTTAATACTTAGCAACACGATCAATAGCATCGTCAAATCACTAAGGTACACCGCATTGAGATGAAGAAAAGATAACGTGTATTTTATTAGAAGGTCGTAGGTTTCGGTATATACCAGCCTGGGTCTTTATTTACAGACTGTGCGACATTTTTCTTAACCCCAGAGATAACAACGCACCTGGAGCCCTCTTTGTTCAAAATTGGTTTGAGTAAGCTTGTTTGTAAATGAAGTTTAAATAAAAAGTATATGTTCTTCCTTACGTACTTAATCAAACAGTGTAATTTTATTAAATAACCAAAATACATTATTTCAGATCCGGTACCAAATAACGTAATAATATAAAGATTTGCCCTAAACTTTTTGAAAACAAAATTTTTCAAGTCAAATCTTCAGATTAACGCTTGATGCCCATGTTCAGACAGTGGACTTTTATAGGCTATAATGAATGAAGGATTATAAAAAAAAATATTTGAATAGCAACACAATAGTTTAAAAAAGCCTAGATAATAAACTACTATAAATCACAAACTGTTAGTTGTTTTTGAAGATAATAATTAGCAAAAAATATTCTTATATCTGATAGAACGTCTGATAGTTGTTCTTAGAAGTATTGCAAATTGCAAGAAAAATTATTCTTGGTTATTGTCTAATTTTCTTTCTCTTATTTATTCTTTATTATACTTGTCCAATTGCGTTACATTTTTTCTAGATGAATCGTTTTATAAAACGATGATACCACTTGCTGTACCTTCTCAATATGATAATTTATTGTTTCATTTTAATTAGTGTATAAATTGATTGATTGGTTCATTGGTTTCTGTCACACATTACGTATTATTAAAACATATTTTGAGGTGAAGAAAAGTATTTCATAGACAATTTAAATAGATAGTTAAACTATTTCCAAATTATTTTCTGAATATACTTTCAAAAAGTTAAACTTTAATAATAAATGCTAAATCTCTTAAACCAACAACTGGCACAATAAATGGCTTATTCTAATATAAAAATAATAAGTACATTATGAGTATAATCGAAGTGTTATTTGAAAGGATTTAAAATATTTTTAAATTTCCCACCTTCATCATTTACATTAATAGAACCAGTTTCGATCCTCTCGCTTCCAGTACAAAACTAATAACTCAGGTCCGACGTAAGCCCCTTGCCGTACTGACTGCGATTAATGTACCGAAAGGTCAAAGTCTGGTAATGTGTTTGAAGTAAATATTAAACATAACACATTATTTATGTTACAGAAATATTTCAAATGGATCTAATTTTAATTGTTTAAAAGTGAAATATTCACAATGATCTATCATCAATCCCCGTCTACATTCTACACTACATGAAATTCAATGGGTGGTAAAGTAAAATAAATTTTAATCTAATTCTGTAAATTTGTTTGATTTAAACGTTTTATACGATCAGTAAATAAGCTGAATTGTAAATGGGCCTGCCATATAGCACGAAGAACCGACCACCAATAGGGAAGAAAGTTTTTCGATTCACTGCCTCTAAGCCAGCCAGTACGTGAAATGTCATTAGGCCAACCGCTAGATGGAGATAGCGGAGGGCCAACCGCTAGTGGACGACCTAGTTATCATCATCGTTACAGCCTTTCATAAGTCCACAGCTGAATATAGGCCTCCCCCAAGGAAGGCCACAAAGCACGGTCCTGAGCTACCTTTATCCATTGACTTCCTGCATGACTTACCAGGTCGTCACTCCATCTCGTGGAGGGTTGCCCTACACTTCGCCTACCGGTACGAGGCTGCCACTTAAGAACCTTTCTTCCCCATCGGTTTTCGGTTCTTCGAGCTATATGGCCGGCCCACTGTTACTTCAGCTTACTAATCAGTTGGGCTTTGTCGGTTACTCTAGTTCTACTGTGGATATCCTCATTTCTAAGTTTATCACGCAGAGAAACCCCGAGCATAGCCCTCTCCATAGCACGCTGAGCGACCTTGAGCTTCCTCATATGGACAGCAGTGAAGGACCACGTCTCAGATCCGTAAATCA